TTGAATTAAATTCCTTCAGTTATGTATGTGTGAAATTAGATATTTCTTGATTGAATTAAATTTTCTTACATACAATGATATGAGAAAATATTTCCCATTCCAACTGCTTATATAGATGTTTTTTCTGTAGTTGCTGAGGTTAGTACATACAAATAAAATAATTTATTGTTCAACATTTTTGCATCAATTTCATTTTGTAAAGAAAAAATTATCTCAACGTCCTTTTCCTTTCAAATAGTAAAAAAAATAAATAACAATGGCATGGTACTGTGTTGAAACAGATCTAAATATTATATAAAAACAATTCATATTATAATAATATTAGGATACATAAATCCATATAAACAAAACATTTTCACAAAAGTTCACTAATGATTTCATATTAGCTTTCAAAGACAAGTTGATTTGTCATATCACAGTCATCATGCTAAACTTTGATAAAGTTTTAAATCTGCAGTAGTGATTTTTCCTAATTACTATATCTTGAATTTTTATGAAGATATAAAACTAACAATTGCAGATTTATATATCAATCATCAGGTTGCAACTATATCTTTACTTAAATAAAACTATATGGCATTTATTATTTTTGAGTGTTTCTTAATTCCATATCAAGAGATCTAATTGTGAAATATGTTAACCCTACAGAGACTAGTACCCTTTTCTGCGCATGTTATGAGGTTTTACTTAGTTATATCCAAAATTTAGTTAAACAATTTTACAATCAATGTACACCAATGAAATTAAAAATCATATTATAGATTAAAGTTTTATATTATCTAAATTTTAATTTCCTTTTTTCAAAAGAAACCTTAAAGAAAAATTCTTAAACTTTAGTTATCTTGTCACGTGATGCACAAATTCACAAAGTCTGAATATTTCATCCCTGTAACTTGAACACTTCTATACATACACTATACTTCTATGTATAGTCAGAAACTAGGTTAATTGCTCTGTTTACACATTCTTCTTTCAAGCTCCATAGGGCACGTTCTGAGTAAGGAGAAATAAATTTCTTGGAACTCTTGACAGAAGCCACACCCACTTTCTACACAAATAGTCTTGATTTCTCAGCCAATTATACTTAGTTGAGCTAGATGTTTATAACCAATGGTAGAACACAGTTCAATGTATGATTTCCCAACAGTTATTTTAAAATTGGTGTGAACAAGACCATAGACAACTAGTCAAACTGCTCTTAGCATTATTTCCACTTTTGTCTTTGCTACCACTTTAGCATTGTTTCTCACCCAGAAACATGTTAGTTAGATAGACAATTGAATTGTATTTAGGTTTTAGACTTATATTTTAGTTAATTATGTGTTATTTCTGTTTCAAGATGCATATTTGAAAGGATTAATAACTTTTTAAATATAAACCATCTTCTCCTCGGTTCACGAGGGTTAGCAAGTATGTCATTCTGCTGATGGTTAAAGTTTCTCAGCCCATGATACTGTAATATTGGCTTGGGATGCTCATGGATGTGTGTCACGATAAAAAAATAACAATGCTAAAGAACAGGAAAGGAAAATAAAACATTGAAAATAAATTATATGTGAAAATGTAAAGACATGGAATTAAAAATATAACCAAAAGAAGATGTTTCAAGATTATTTGAGGAAAATTAAAAGGTATTTACACATTTCTTTAATTTTAAGCATTTCATTGCACTATAAGTTGATGATAATAGCTGAAGTTAGTGATATAGTAAAGAAAATAGAAAATAATATATAAATATTTTCTTTAAAAACTTATGCTGTTCATTTAGAAGGTTCTAGGAGTTATGGAAATGAAATTTGAAAACTATAAGATAGAAAAAAGTATTTTTATATTTAACATGAAAATCATCTTGCATTCAAACAATGTAGAGTGAGTGCAAATAACTACAATAAAGAATAATAAATTTTACTGGAAATACTGGATAAAAATATCATCATTTTTGGTATACATAAATATTTGTGATCTTAAACAAAATCTTACCACTTTTTATAAAGATACATTAAGAAAGGTCAGAGTTATCAAAAATATTGTTGAACTGTGTATGATTCTCCCTATGAGCTATGCTCAATAGGTAATGCACTGTCTCCATAGAGGTAATAGGAAAATAGTTATCTGAAAAGTAAACTATATATATATATATGTGTGTGTGTGTGTGTATATATATAAACTAAGCAGCAAGTTTTTATTTTAAAAACATCTTTACTATAAGGTTCTAGTTTACACTGAATTAGCTGAGATTTACTTTAAAAATAAATTCACAAGCAACTATTACTTTGATAATGAACCAAAAAGAGACTGTAAGATGAAGCAACACCCATGTGAAACACACATTTATGTCACATACACTTTTTAAGACATAAATTCGAAGCGCATGTCAAATAATCAAGGCCAACCAGAATATCAAATATTGCAAATATGTCTCTTAAACCGGGGGTTTCCATTTTTAAACCCAATACCCATCTGAGTGGCCAAGTAATTTTCTGGACTCATGCTCAACCATGGGAGGATTGTATTATTGTCCCAATATATTCCAGTAAAGTTATAATTTGTGTTTCTGTTTTATTTGTTCAAATTTTATTTGTTATTATTTTAAAATAAAAATATATCCATATTTTACTGTGTTTTGATCTGCATCAAACCCCAATAACTTCTACAAATCACCAAGGGTTTTGACCTACAATTTGGGAACTGCTGTTTGAAACAGCTTGTTAAAGCAATGTAATTGCCAGAAAGGTGTTATTATTAAAAACAGCTTGCAGTCAATGTTCTCTTAGGAGACAATTCCTAGAGCAAGTTACTTATACAATAACTTCTAAAAAATAATGTTTTCTATACATTGTGCTGAATAACAATAAAAATTAATTTTCTTTTGTTTTTGTCAAGTACATCTTTACAGTAGGTGCTTTTAAACTCCAAAAGGATCATAACTCATAAGCATGTTGCCACTATGAGTATGAAGCTTTCCTTTCAATTTGGTCAGTGATGTACATATGTGAAGTAAACTTGACTGGCTCACTCTTAACCCTATTGCCATGAGGTTTTTAGTGAGTTACATTCAAAATTTAATTAAACTACTTTTTGTTTATGTTATACTAATTAGTATAGCATAAAATTGTATCTAATAATTCATATTTTAAAAGTATATAAATTTTAAGTTCTTAATTTTATAAAGGAATATTTAAAAAAATCCTGAATTTCCCCTTATGTGAGAAGTGGGACATTTTTTCCCTAGGCATCCCCTATTCTCTAATTTATTCACCAACCCTCCAATAAGTAAGAAATTTAATGAAAATTACTAACTATAATATCATCATTGCTCAGACAAATCACAATTTTTAGCCTTCAATCTTGTTTGGTTATAGAGACATCAAATAGAAAATCAGACCCCTCTTGCCACACTCACCTGTCACATCCTCTCTTTCAGGATTTGTTAATAGTTTTCTATTATATTTAATACTACATTATTTATAATCAATAGAAAGCAAAGGTTTTCATCTATCAAATGACATATTATATTACATTGTTTTCTGAACAGAGAATTGTCAATCTCTTTTAGTACAAGCTTTGTTCCCACAGGAAACATATCAACTGACTTGGATTAATTTGTAATGGCTTTTGTCACATAGAAAGCCATAAACATTATGATAGTTATGGGACAATGTCTACTTTTTGCATGTTATTATTCTATGTTCTTTTGTGCATTATTTAATTAAATAAAAATTATTTAGTGCACTATTATCATTAGTATAAAAATATAGGGTTAAGTGTCATCAACAGCTGACAGAAAAACAAAGGTCTAGGTAAGTACTTTATTTCTTGTATTCTTTACTTATTTATTATAAAAAAATTCACTAAAAGGTAAAAATAGGAATGTTTTTAGTTAGTTTAGGTAAAACAAGTAATGATAATAATATAATAAAACTTTTTCACGAGGAATGCATGTAAGCAGCTTGGAGTAGCTTGTGGGTACTGTAAATCGACAGTGTAATGTGAGCCCCTTATTTCCCAAGTGATTTACAGTTTGTAACGGCAAAAACAGTAGTTAGACATGGTTTCAAGGACAATCAAACAATAAAATATGAGTATAAATTGATGTATACTGTTACGAGTTTGAAGCTACTTAGGATAAACAAATGTAGTTTCCTGTTATAATTTGAAGCCATTCTAGAAGGAAAAAAAAGGGTAGTTTAGATTTATTTAGATTTTTCTTTTTGGTGATTACGAGGTTGGTCAACTTGACTAACTTTGTATAGAGTTAGGGTAGAGAAAATAACAGATAAAACATAAAGTGTCACAGAAAAAAAAGTTTAAACTGTATTTAGGAGGTATTAGAGATTATGCAAATAAAATTTTAAATTTTTAAGATGAAGTATTATTAATCTCAACATGAAAAATCACTTTGCACTCAGATAGTAAAAAAAAAAAACTCAATATATTCACAGACAAATCTTTTTTTTAGTTTATTACAAATACTTCACTAAAAAAATCTAATTTTTCTATGTAAAAGACTTGTAATGTTTACTGAAATTCTACCAAATGTTGTGAAGATGCACATACTATGTTAAGAGTTAGTCGTATCAAAACTATAACAACTTTAAATGAGTTCAAAGTGGTCACGTGGTTTGTCAATTTGTGTAGAGAGAGTTAACCACAACAGTGGGAGGCTTACATTTTAATGTAGTAAATTATAAGTGAATAAGAAGAAAATTTAACTGGCTGACTTTTTCGGATGTGGCCTAAAAAATAAACACATGTTCAACTTGGCTGGCTGATTTCATCACTAAAAAGTATTTGGGCCATGTTGAGAACTAGTGATCACAATAAAAATTAAACACATCCATAATTTATATTTGTTGAAAAATAAATTTTAGCATAAACACTTAATATCAATTTATATTTGTGAACAAATTTGAGTTGTATACTATCCCACACATGTATCTTCAAGTTCTAAGAAAGAAAAATATATCTTTAGCTCATACATCATACATACATACACATACCTTTTATATTAAATAACATTGTTCCCATCATGCATTCCAGCTCAGCCTCTATGTTACACAGTGTGTCAGTGCACTCTCTGTATCCTGAACGAACATTGTGTAGTGCAGATTCTTTCTCCTTTCCTGGAGACAAGACATATGCATAGGCCATTGTACGAACTCCTGTAGAGTAGTGAGGCATAAAATTTATAATATTTGTACCGTAATTACCAAACTAACTTGTATTTATACATGACATAGAAAACAATTTGTTTGTTCAAAATTCTGATGTATAAAATTAACAGTTTTTTGTTAATTATTAAAGCAAAACTTTGTTAGGAAAAGCTCAGATATATTAAGTCAAATTCTATGTACATGGATTGTTGATTTTTGAAAAATATATGTATACCACATGAACTGATAACTATTACTATACACTACGGTATTTAATTTTTTTTTTTTAGTTTTAAGGTTTATTATTTCTTTCTGAAACATATATATATGCCTTGTAAGTACGTTATAATAAAATTATTATAAAAATAAAAAACTCTGGTGGACTCACCATCTCTCATCTTCTGGTGAATCTTGTATTGATCTTGAAGTTCTTCAAGCTAATCAAACATAAATTTCTGGAGTTTTATTTCAAGGAAATCAATCTTTGATTTCTTTTGAAGAAATTTAAATACTCAAGGATTCACAGTTTCAACAAAACTAATACAAATTCCATATTTTTAGCAAAAAGAAAAACTTACAAAAGAGCCCTTATAGTATATTTTGTGTCACACTTTTATATAAAATAAGGTTCAATTAACTGTAGTGTTTATTCTGGAAGTTTATTGTCTGATTAATTCTATGTTTTTGTTTTTTAACTCCAATATAATTTTATAGTGAACTAATACACATTTTTTGTTGTACATAATGTTTTAAATGTCTGAGTTTAAAATTAAAAGTTTTTTTACTTAAACAAGAAATTAAATATCTGATTCATTTATCTTAAACAATGTGATTAGCAGCCCAAGCAAATTACTGAGAAATGATTAGAGATCTAGGTTTACTTCTTACACTGCATAATAAAAAGCATAAACACTTCAATCAGTATGACTAGAAGAGTTTTGTGTTTATACACTTGGCAACAAGAAAAATAGTGTACCATATATTGTAAAATATATCACCTTTGCCAACTGAAACTCGAGACGTTTCAAATACCTCTCTGCTGTTTTATATTGCTGGAAGTAAAAAGAAGAGTAAATCAGCGATCTCTACTCACTACTAAAGATAAAGTAACATCTCATATCTAAAAAGTTAATAATACACATATTTCATTACACTCTCATCAAATAAATGAAAAATTATAATAGTATTTATAACATTCATATATGTATAAATATATACAAAGAAGAATCTTGAATAAAATTTGTCTTTATAAATAAGAAAATAATTATTAGTTACAGGTAGCTGAACACATACAAAATACAGTCATTCTTAATGTCTGTGTGTAGGAAAACTTCTAAACAACAATAATTGTTTCACTTATAACAAGTCTGAAATTTGTTAAATACTTTTGATAATATATTTAGAGAAAAATTACTACTTGTCTTCATTGTTTTAAATCTCATTCAGAGACAAAAATGTTTCACCACAGAGTCTAAAACATCATGAAATTTTCCTGGGTTTCCAAGTTTAATTATTCAGTTTGTATTCTGAAACTCTGCCAGGAAACATAAGCTAAGCTAAGCTCAAACTACCTAAGCATTTTATTTTACACATCCAAACAGACCTCTGTCACTGAAATAATGTAAAGAAACAAGAAAGATGATCATTTAAGTAACTAGTGAAGATAAAACTTCCTCAGCAGTTCCAAGCATAACATGCAAACAGCAAACTCCCCAGTCTTACCTTTTCCACTTCATAAAGTTTTCCTTGGAACTATGAAGACAATAAGTGATATATACATTTTATCTAATGGGGTTCTTTTCTTCTATATATATATATAATAAAACATGGCCAAAACACCAAAGAATATGGAGGGTAAAAATAAAAAGCAGTCTGACATTACAAAAAGCAAAATGAAAATGCATATTTAAAGATGTAAGAGAATGTTATACTTTATAGGATACACCATGTATTCACAATCATCCTTTAAGCATTCATACATGTAACAATAAGTGACTAACAAATAAAATATAATGCAATGAACAATATGGAAACATAACATAATAAACAGGTGGAGTAATACAACAAATGTAATGAATAACTTGTATGACAGTGTAATATAATTCCTACAACAAAATGCAATTTACAGCTTGTGTAGGCAACTTAGTGTAATGAGTAACTGAAACTACTCAACAAAATGCATGTAAATTATTGGAATCAGTAAGCACACAACAATTTTTTAAGCATTTTTGTTTTTAATTTACAAATTGATTAAATATTGAATACCTTGATTGAAATATGCATATTATTTCCCATTCATCAATAAAGCAACATAAATGATGAAATATTTACTACAGTTATAAACTTATAAATTAAAGATAAGTTAATTTTATATCAACACAAGTACACAAGACTGAGCTTAAAAACATAACAGTGTATGTGTGTGACATCTGTTAGGCCTAAGAAACTCTTATATGTATGTATGTACATACAGAAGTTGGACAAAATAATATAAATGCCTCAACTATTTAACTCCACATTTTGGTGTCTGTAACATGTGAAAATGTAGCCATATGGTAAAATTTAACTATGTATTAAATTACTGCTTTTTGAGAGAAAGGTGCTAAGATGCCAAGCAAGATCTGTAAAATTTCTACAGAGTCCCAAAATTCTTGGTGAATGTCTAGCTTGACCCTTAGTGACATGAACATTTGGAATAATAAATATATCCTGAAAAACAGTATCAAAAATGATGTCAGTATGGATATCATAAAATTAAAAAATAAGTTGGCAGATCATTTTGGCTAAGTATTAACACAAAAAATGAGATAGAAACAAAAGTGTACACAGAACTTAACATAAGTCTACAACAACCAAAGAGGACTGTGCATGATGGGTTAATATAACAGGTCTGCCATTGAAAAACCTCTATTAAAACCAAAATAAAATGCAAAAGCACAAGTAAAATGGTATCATAAACATTAAAAATTGGATCAAAGATCAATAGAAGATTGCACTTTGGTCAGATGCATTATCTTTTACAGTTTTATGATCAAATGGATGTATTTATATGGGGTGAAAATAAAAAAAAGCTTACAACCTTGAATGTCTTATTTCATTAAGTTCTGTGATGGTGAGGACAGAATTTCTTTCTGAAACAGTTTAAAGCCCATGATCTCACTGAAAGATAAAGTGACAACAAATAATTACTTAAGTCTTATTGCAGATCACATTCACTGTGTGATGAAAACTTTATTTCCAAACAGAGCTAGTTGGTTCAGGAAGACAATGTACAAATTCATACTATTAAGTTGTTAAAGATTGGTTCAAAGAACATATGGAAGAGTTTGGACACACAACTTGGCTACCATGGTCACCAGATTTAAATATTATCAAGCTGCTATAGTCAGCTTTGGAACTAATCTATGAAACAGAATTCGATCACCTATATCACATCAACAATTAGAAGTTTTGGTTGACAACTGGTGAAAAATACTGTTGTTTGTGACAATAACTTGTTTCATCAATTTGATATCATGTTAAAGTTGTATTGTCTGTTCAAGAAAGACCAACTCCTTGTTAATAAATAAATTGTTGAAATTAACAGATGTTTCCATTATTTTGCCCAAACCCATATTCTGCTTATTGTTTATATTTAATTGAAGCACAGTAGTCTGAAGTCTGTAAATTATCATACAATGGGTAATTTTTTCAGCATTTAAAATATTTCTGAAACATTAAGTGTACCTTTTAAAGGTGCCAAATAGTTTACTTAATTTGGAAAAAACAATTGAAAAACGTGTTATGTTCTTCACTTAAACTACACCACCTACAGAAGCTGGCCAATTAAGTGAAAACATTCACTATTTATTCATGAATAAAGATATGTTTTGTTACTTGTACACTTGTGTTACTTGTATTATATTGCAATTGAGTTCATTTTAACTTTATATAAAACATTTCTGATACACAAACTTATCTGTTATACACTAGTGCATCTCAGTACCACAACCATCCATACATATATAGCAAATGATAAAATATTAAACATAGTTACTATAATATAATTAATTTCTCAAATCCAATTACATATCACAGCTACAGAATGTTATTTTACAAACCAAGAAACCACAATACTCCAAAATAGCCACTCTAATAATCTTTTCGATCACATAATGTACACTTAGAGGAGATTGGTAAGGAAGCCATTAGATAAACTAGTACTAGTTAACAAACCATCATAATTAAAATGATGTGCAAAGGTGGTGACATCTAATAACAAAACTTACTGATACCACAGTTAAGGCCAAAAATTGGCCTAGACATAAACTTCTGAAGGCACTAGCAAATGTTGCTAGTTTTTTCCTCCACTAGCAAGTTTGGGACTACTTCTAGCAACATTATTTTATAATTGAAGTAATTGTAAATATGCCACAATTAATGATTTTATGTATTAAATGTTGATGATTATGTTTATGTTCTACTTATATGTATAATTCTTCTGTCTCATGTTTTCTTTTCAAATATATTTGAAGATCAAAACTCATTTTAATCACACGTAGCACTGTTTCTATTTGAATTATTTAAAAAAGTTAAAAGATTTGGGTGGAAACTGGTGTATCTAGATCATGAGTGCCTGGATCAATAGGTTATATTACTCCACTGCTCACTACCATACTATACTAAAAAAATGTGTCTATTATTAAAAGCTACAGCTGAAATTCTGAAAGTTGGAGAAGCATTAAAAGCCAATAGGCTTAACATTTGTGTTAACCGGGCACAAATTAAGAGGAATGTAGGAAAACATCTGAAGTTTACATGAATTGTATTTTATTTGTACTACCATTAAGCAACTACTTGGGTAAAGTATTTCAAAACTGCACTGCATGGGCTGGATGGTGTGAGCCTAGCCAGACAGCCTATATGCTACTGCCTTAGCAAACAATCAAATGATTTGAAGGTGAGGACTCACTATCCTTCTTTCCTGATAATTAGCTGGGTATGCCATGCAGCTCAAATGGGGATTGGAAACTGGACTGGTACTGGCAAGTGATATAATCTTTTAAATCACAATTATGGTAACCTTCTGTGCTCATATCCTTGCAATACAAATTACTGAAATATATGTATCAGAGCATGTTGATACTTAACAGCAAGAATTTAGAAATCTTCCTTCTGAAATATGCACAAGTAATTTCTTTATAATGCCTTCTAAGTTTTACTAACAAAACTGCAATGTTAATCAGCAAGTTATTAGTTTGCTTGTATTGATTTTAAGCCTGGAAAAGTATTACAATTATGGCCTGTTCTAACTTTCAGTATCTTTTTTGGTTTGATTTAAAATGTTCTAGTGCTATAAAGTCTATTTTTGTTTCAAATATTTTTAAAGACAAGTTCATAACACACAGAATTATTTGATACACTTAAAAATGTGTGTGTGGGTGTATGTATATTTGTAAATATTTGATAAAAAAAATATATATTTCCAACATATTTATGTGATACAAAAGCTGATACGAATAAGGTAAAACAATTTTAACTGAGCAATGTTAAATAATCAATACAGTGCTGAAGCAATTCAAGTACAACTGAATTTGAGTATTAAATAGCATAGACTCTCCATCTACAATCTGGAGATTAACACTTAATAATGATTAAACCTAACTCTTCCCCCCAAAAAAGAAAAAAGCTTCTTCTGAGATATTCAACACTGTATTACTATTTGCCTTTTAATTAAGAGGTACACACTTAACTTAATCTACAGTCTGGAGATTAACACTTAATAATGATTAAACCTAACTCTTCCCCCCAAAAAAGAAAAAAGCTTCTTCTGAGATATTCAACACTGTATTACTATTTGCCTTTTAATTAAGAGGTACACACTTAACTTAAGAAAAATATTTAACTTTGAAACAGCTATTTGTGGGATAATAAATATATTTCTGTACAATGTTTCGTCTCTAACAGTGTATCTTAAATTATCATGTCTTACTGTTATAGATGTTGTACAGAAATAAATCTATTATTTCACAAATAGCTGTTTCAAAATTCCACTTCGCTTTATTGTTTAAGCTGGGAACAGATAAGGGTAATGAGGTGTGTGTTTATTTTGCAATACAAAATAATTATAACTAATTGGGAGACCTAATTCTTCATAGGGGTGTGCAATTTACGTAGTGAGGTTTTATACACTATACAAATTTCTGATGATACATGGGTTAAAGTATGTCTGTTCTGAAAAACTAGATCAAAGTGATTAATGTATACAGATCACTACACATCCTAGATAACAGTGTAAAACTGAAGCACATTGTTATATTATTATTTCATTTGTTTCAGCTGTCATTGTAACATTTATTTTTACTTATTACAATTTTAAATGTAACTGTAATTCATCATTTATGATAAGATATCAAGTCTTTCTTGGCAAAAGATCTGTTATTTTTCACCTACCTGAGTGTTAACTGTAAGACCTTCTACTGAAGTCCTGAGATTTACAATGTCATCTTGAGTAAGATTAATGCACTCCCTGAAAACATTGGTAGTAATATTTTTGTATGTTAGTGAAAAGTATCATTCAAAACAAGTTAATTTTAACAACTACTGCTTGTAAAACATGGTTATCAAATACCTACATTACATTTTTACTTTTAATGCAACAAAATGCATACATCTCGCAAAAATACAAAATATCTCAAGCTCTTACCCAAATGAAGGGGATTATAGTTAATTATCCATAATTTTGTTTTCAACTCGTCACTTTCTTTTACTCTATTCCCTTTCGATCTGTTAAAGCATGCATCCCCAGACATAGCTTTTCTTCTCAAGCAATTCTCAAAAAAAGATTATCATTGTACAGAAGATATACTGCATAGGCTCACACAAAGTATGCTGATATCCAAATCATTTAGCTAAGTAGAATTCATAACATTTCAAACTGTAGCACTTAGAAAAGGTTTTCCAACAATTTTAAAATATGTAATTGGTTATTCATGCTGTTTAAAAATTCGATGTCCTACTACTGCACATACAGTATGACCAAAAGAGAATTACTGTCTTGTGAGACCTCTTCACCTCAGACTAATGAAATAATAAACTACCAAATGTACTTAACATTTGACATGTAGACTTCAATTTCAAGAAGAATAAAAACAATTGAGTTACCATTTATAGTTAATTTCAGTAAAAAACATCACAAGAGCAATTACATACCCTTTTAGACTCAGATCGTGAGAACTTTTAAATGTTTATGAAAAATTATTCTAATATTTATCTACATCTTTTACAAACAAGAGGGAATCCTCAATAGTCATGGCTGTAATTAGATCTCAAATTGATCAAGAGATGGAGCCATGAGCTAAAAGTTTGTACTTGGAAAAACAAACAGAGCCATTCTATGAGCTGTTATGTTGCACCTAAAAATTAGTTATTACTGCTTACAAATCATTACATATTTAATTAAAACCTAATCAACAGAAACAAGTCACAAAAGCAGTATACTTATAGGTACTAATCATAATTATCTTTATATGAAATAGCACATATATTTCTTACGTGTCCATTATTATATGGGAAATGAACCCATGACCAGAATTTCTAGGTTGTAAAAAAACTGTACAAATGTATAGTACATGTACAAACTCAGTATATTAAAATTAAAAAAAGAAACGTTCTTATCATTAATATATTAAAATACAGTAATATCTTAACCTAAAGAGTTCATATATGTAACATACAAATATTTTTAAAACTATACTATATTATTTGTGAATGTAAAACTTAAAAACTTGTTTATTGTCGGATACATAGAGTATAATATATAGCTGATGAAACGTTGTAACCATAAATATTATATTCTGTATATCCAACAATACACAAGTTTCAAGTTTTATCTTTGTTACAGTACATTTTGTTAGGATTCCCATGGACATCAAGTGTGTCTTAGTATTCTTTGCCTATATCAAAAATTTTACAAATTTCATTATAGTCTTATTAATTCAGAATGATCAAACATTAAGTGATACATATATATTTTGTACCTCTGTGTTGAAACCAGTAAATTTTCCAGAATATACATGGGGAATTATTTATTTTATAGGACTAGCTGGTTGAGAGCGTAATCACTTTAAAATTTAAAACTATTTCTATTCTGTTAATTTATCAATTTCCATCAGATCACATAATCACAAATAAAATTAATTTTTAAAATTCATCACACCTATGAAGTCAGCAATTTGGAAAGTTATTGATAGCTTAGAGTTTTCACTACATATATACATATATGGAAAAAAAATACAGGTCCACTAAAAGGTATTTCAGAAAATTATATAATGTGACAGCTTTGTCTTGAAATTGACTTTTTTTTACAAAAACTACATTACATAATTTGAAATAACTTAGAAATGACTAAAATTAGTAATAGATATAACTACGATTGCTTACATTCACAAAATTTAATAGTACTGTCATAATTCAAGAAAAATAAAATAAATAGAATATTTTTGTAAAACAGCATGCTTTAGATACTATACATACTATAATGTTCTTATATTGATTATTAACACAAGTAAGCAAAATGTTGATTTCAAAAGTAAAATAAATGTGAGCAAAGCTCAAGCTTCCTTAATATCATGGCACAGGCAATTACTAAGATCCACATCTACATATGTTTGTGATTTTGAAATAAAGAAATTAGAAAAGGATTTTTCTCAAACATAAGCTAAAACAGAATGATTACATGGAGTTCATTTTCTGGTGTTACCATAATGCGCAAATAAACATATACTTATCAAATGAGCACATGACAAAACAGTTCAAATTTATAATGAAATGTAAATGAAACAATTATTGTAGCAGATAGTAGATGTTCAAGATTTCACTCAGTAGAAAAAAAAAGTTGACAGTAAACACTGAAAATAGTTTACATATTACAAAACTATAAATTCTCATCATACCTGAGTCCACTGTTCACTGCCTGAAACATAGCTAATGCTCGTTCAGGACGTGGGGCTTTGGGTGGCTTGCTTGACCATGTAGATGACCCTTCTAATACTCGCCGTGTTGTATTTGGGCTGTAGTACTGCCCTAATACCGAACCTTGTTAAAATAAAAAGGGACGTGCTTCATACACAAAAAGTCAATTTAAATGTCCTACCTAGCTGTGGTAGATATAAATTTTAGTGTTATTTTCAAATAACTAATAATGTCTACATTTTTCCTGAGTATAGCTCATGTTTAATGTTTTGTTTTTTTAATTTTATGTATTACTTTTTGAACTTTATATTTGCAAATACCTTTACCACTAGTAACTCTCTCATTATGAGCTCAGTCCCAGGAACCAATCTTGTTACTATTTTGTGCTTTTTATAATTTTCATACTTTAACTTCTAATACAGTATGTGTATCTTCACAAACTTTTGCAAATTATCAGTAAATATGACTAGGCTATCATACACAAAATATCAGATTTTTTAATCATGTTTTAATATTTTTAAAGATTTGATTGTGCATTTTTTCTTTTCGATTGTTTACTGTCCAACATGTAATTTTTATTTTTAGATTAAAAATACTTTTATGCATCAGAAAATTGTAAAGTTTCACATGCAAAATCTTTATAACCTCCAGATAATTGTTTGTTTGTAATTAAGCACAAAGCTACACAATGGGCTACCTGTGCTCTGCCCACCACAGGAATCGAAACCCGGATTCGAGCGTTGAAAGTCAGCAGACATACCACTGTGCCACTGAGGAGCCTCCAGATAATTATCAAACATTTTTGTTTAGAAAAAACTTTATATTTTATCTGTTATTCTCAATACTGAGTTTCTGTACAGGTTCGGTAGATTTGACCAATCTTGTAACCCCCATAAAAAATTAGGAAATAAATATAAATTATGCCTTTTTCGTTCTAGAATGACTACAGATTATAACATGAAAACACAAATGTTTAGACTAAATAGCTTAAATCTCATAACATTATATATTTACATATGTATATATTATTTTTATTTTACTGACCTTCCAGCTGTGTCTGATTAACACTATAGAAGTTGCAATGATGCGGCTCACGTGCAGTCATGTTACCATATACATTAGTATAAAACTGGCTTTTACAAAGTGACCTGTCTTGGCTTTGTTCTAGTGGACCAATATTTTGTAAAATACAATCATATTCTGGTTAGAAAACATTATGTACGTATATATATATAATTACTATTTACAAGTAAATTCTTAAATTTCAGTTATTTTTCTTAAAACATAAAACAGTAAATAAGGAAGTATAGAAAAAAAAATGATCTATTCTACTTATGAACTTTGTACTTGTTTGCCACTTGCCATTATTTGCTAAGCTTTGTCAAATTTCACACATGGAGTTTTATATCTGCATTTTAAAATAACAAAAAAAGTCATAAATTACTATAGTAATACCACAGAAATTCACTATAATTTATTAGGCTTAGTAACTAAGCTGTATTTGGGTCTACAAAAATTATATTTTGAAAAACATTTTCACTTACTCCTTCCTTCCCAGATGCAAGACAAAAAAGAAAAAATCTTGGGAACTTTCCACCTTCAAGAGCCAGAAACCCACATAGGGAAAATTCTGAGCTTTTCTTTGGTTATAAAGCCATAAAGGAGCAAAGAGATTGTTCGTAAGGAATCATTTCCAAAAATTGAAGAAGTGGGCAGGGCCATTGTGTTTTAATCACTAAATATAGTAATATTTCAGCAAATAGAAAAGATAGGAGGTTTTTATTTTATATTCTAGCTTGTCAATATTGGTAATTTGAGTTTCTAATCCGTAAGAAACTATAAACTTTGTATTTGGACATCACGAACATATAATTTGAATCAGAGCTACATTCAACATACAAAAATCAATATTTAGGAATTTATTTTTTAATCTTTACTTTTAAAATATGAAATCAACTAACGTATAATACTAAAATTTGAATTATAATCTACAACTGATACCAAACATATTGACAGACGATCATAAAACAGTAGTTCAATAAAATTTTCAATAAAAATTATGGCAGTAATATTATTAGACAGCTTTCATTTACTATCACATTCTTCAATAGTTTAATTCCCTTTTTAAAAAAGTTATTTTATCTTTCATTATCAATGAAATATGATATAAGCTTTGAGTAACTTGATTATGTAATGTACAAAAACCAATTAATGAGATATATAAAGTTTTGAAACACATACCTGTAGGATAATAGATTTATTTCTGGACAACGTTTTGTCCCTGACAGTGAGACATGATCATGGAACAACATTATCCCACAAATAGCTTCTCAAAACTTCATATTGTTCGTAAGTTAAGTAGATACCTCTTAAAAACGAAAATGAGTTATATTAAATATAAAATGTAGTTATTAACCTAACATATAAGCAAAAAAGTGACTATAACAGAACCATAGTTTTATTAGCATGGCTCTTGACTTCCACATTAGTGTTTTCTGTACATTCATTTTGTGTAAAAAGAAGATTGCATGTAAACATTTAAGCTGCTCTCATGATGACTTAGTAAATACTAGTCCAACAGAATTTAAAAAAATTATAAGGCATTATTTACAAAAAATTTATTCAACAGGAAAAAAAGTTTAAATAATTAGCAGCAGATTAAAAACAATGAATGACAAACAATATGTGACAGTGGAGTATATAAAGATTTAATCAACCAGAGTGATGCAGTAGTCATGCATCACCATGATACTTTTAAGCCCTACCTATATATATGATTTTCACTGAGAATATAAACTTTTGAGTATGCATGATTTTTACTTCATGGATATTTCTTCTAATTCTTTCATTCCATACTTACCTTTTTCATGTTTGTTGGAATTAAATTTTTAAAACAAGTTCTTCATACATCATCTACATTTTGAAATGGTTATAAGAATATTATTATTGTCATGGTTTGTAGCCTATATTATCAGCGCAATCTAAATTTTAAGTAATTACAGAATGAATTTGTACTAAATTGTCTTAAGGTTACAGCACACACACGTTTGTTGAAGTTTTTTTATTTTACATGTACTTACTTTGAAAGAATTAAGAATGATCTTTTTCCAAAGGTCACTGGATCATCATTTGAGGCAAAAATCTACTTGAATTGCATCATGATTCTGCAAGAACCATAAAAAGCAGACAGACTGGTTCATTTCATTACCTGAGAATGTGATTAAACCTTGTCAAATTCTCATTCCAGTTTTAATTAATTTAATGTTACATTACTAGCCTGAGTAAGTGGACTGATCGCTAGACACCCTCGTTCGATCACAGAGTAGTTCTTCTCATTACTCAACAGCTTTTTACTGGCATACATTATGGGAAACAGTTCACTTACATGTTCTTGCAGAAGTACAGCTCCAATTCCAACGTTTGATGCATTGGTCAGAACAATGAACAGTTTGTTGAAGTCTGGCATTCTAAAGACTGGCAAACTTCCTAACTTGTTCTTCACCTTCTGGAATGTCATCTTCTGTGGTTGTTCCTAATTCACCTTGCCAACCTTTCTTGGTTAGGTCTGTCAGTGGTGCAGCATAGTTTGGGATGAACTTCTTATAGTATCCTACTAATCCCAGGAAGGATCTGACTTGCTGCTTGGTCATTGGAGCACCTTGTATGTGGGTTAGTTTCTTCTCTTCCACGGCTATCTGTCAGTTGCCCATCTTGTGTCAAATAAAGTCCAGCACAGAATAACTGATGTAGTAATTAGATGGTCTGATAGTCAGACCTGCTGTCTTCACTCAGCCAAACATTTCATTGAGTATATTCAGGTGGTCTTCTTATCTAGCTGTGTGGGTCAGAATATCATCCACAAAATGCTGGAGGTCTTGTACAACATCTTACCCATCATGTGGTAGAATTTCACTGCTGAGTTGACCAACTGCACAGTGAGTTTGTTGTTGTATGGTGGTAGAAGAGCTAAGACCTTCATGAGTTTCTGCAGTGAAGAGTCTTTCTTATCAGCTTCCTTCAGTTCCTATAGACCTACATATAGTTGCACCCATTAGGTCTTCTTCCCTCTTGAAGTACCTCTTCATCAGATTGGCATGGTAGATCTTGGTCTTCCCATCCATTTTCACCTTACAGTCCTTTCTGTTGACCACTTCCTGTACTTCTGAAAGTCTTTTGACTGCACGGTGAGTTTGTTGTTGTTGTCTGGTGGTAGAAGAACTAAGACCTTCAATCCGACCTTGAAATGTTAGTCCTTGGCCTTCTTGTCATAGAAGTCCTTCTGACTGCCTTGAACTGCATACATACTTTCTTGAACGAGTTGACAGGTCTCCTCCAGTCAGTTTCTGAGGCCTAACTTGTTCCTCACTTCTAATTCTTCTTCTCCTATCCACAGTTCTTTCAATATCTGCATCAGACCTTGTACTGTTCTTCCATACAGTAACTCACAGGGTAAAAATCCTGTACTTGCTTGTAGGACTTCGCAGAAAGCAAATATTACTGCCTGCAGGCACCTGTCCCAGTCATGTGGTCTCTCTTGGCACATCTTCTTTAGCATGCTCTTCAAGACTCCATTGACTCTCTCACAAAGTTCATTACATCTGAGGTTGTATGGAGTGGTAAAAAGCTACCTAATGCTGGTGAGTCTGCACACCTCTTACATCAGTTCTGAGGTAAACTGCATTCCTCTGTCACTCAAGATTTCTTATGGAAAGCTGACTCTGCAGAACACTTCCAGGAGGGCTTCTGCTACTCTTTCCATCTCTATCTTTGCCAGACAAAAGGCTTCTGGATAACATGTCATGTAGTCAACTACTGTCAATAAGTACCAGTTGCTGTTGTCAGATATAGGTGCTAGTTGTCCAATCAAGTCCACAATTACTTTGCTGAATGGCTCTTCTATGAGAGATATCTCACCAAGTGGCACCTTGTCCAGCTTCCCTCTAGGTACTGTCCTTTGGGAGATATCACATGACCTGCTTAATCTGGTCAAATTGTCAATGACCCCCAGCCAATGGGAGTTACTGGTGATTCTTTCTGCTGTCTTCTTTGCTCTTAGGTATCCTCCCACAATTGACTCTTGAGCTAACTTTATCACTTGAGTCCATATTCGGTATTATGATCTATTTAAGTTCTTCAGTAGAACTGCCTTGATAGACCTGGTACAGCACTCCCTTCCAGTCCTCTATTCTGCAATTCCCTTTGCCCCTTGATCTTGTGCTCAACTTTTTCCTGGACACTGTTCCAAAGTTTCTGCAGTGAAGAGTCTTTCTTATCAGCTTCCTTCAGTTCCTATAGATCTAGATTCAGGATGACACTTTTCAAGACTTGCAGGGGCTTGATATCTTGCTTGCTCTTCTTCCCATGAGCTTTAGTGGTGACTGCAGATGCCTCATCAGCTTTCTTTCTGTCTTGTTCCTCAAAAATTCTACTGCCTGATATATTGCGAATAACCAAGCCATAGATAGGTGCCTTCATACACATGGCCTCAAGGTCTCCCACATAGTATGGAGTGTTAACCTTATTTCTTGCTGTGGGAAACTTTATCACTGTCCCACCAATCAGCATACACAAATTTACCTTGTCCATCATCTGGTCATCAGGAACTAGACTGGTTCTCACTGCTGCACCAAGTGTCTCATAGGACTTTCACTTCCTTGTCCCAGACATAGCTTCCACTAACTGGCATGTTGTGGTTTGTTGGCATCTCAACGTTTGTAACATGCTCCGATCAACACTGGCACCGTTAATTCATGTGCTAACTTGAGCTGATCATCAATCATGCACTGTTTAATCCTTCTTATGGTGAATCTAAGGAGTTGTCTCTATTTTGGTGCTTCTGGCAGCAGCATTCATAGTGACAGTCACTCTTTTCTTGTTTCTCACCAGCAATCTTTTTGTAGAAAGCTCCAGATGCTTTATGATGACATTTCTGCAGTTGCTTGTTGGTGATGGACTTGCACTCACTTGCAATGTGCCCCATTTTGTAACTAGCATAGCATCTCTTCTCCTTGTAACTTTGTTGGTATTCTGCTACTGATCAGCCACCCCTGGTTTTGACTTTAACTGAGTATTATTGGACTTACCAGTTATTACTCCCTCCATGAGCTTCCATATACTGTTCTGCCAGCTTGATCATCTCATCCATGTCTTTCAGTGCTTTCCCTTTTAGGAACAGTGAAATTTCAATAGAGCATGTGATCATGAACTGCTCACATAATAGTTGAACTGCCAGTCCTTCAAATCTATCTTCACACTTCTTCATGTCAATCTACCTTGTGAAGTATTGCTGTAGACATGTTACAAACTGAAATATAGTTTCTCCAGTGTCAGGTTGTACTTCTCTGGATTTCCAGCAAAAACCTTCTTCGGTAAGTTCATGGCATTTCAGCAAGGCCACTTGTAACTTGCCATAGCCCATAGCATCTTCTGATGTCATACTCACACACACTTGTAGGCCTTTTCCTGTGAGAAGAAGGCTGAAACAAACTGCCCAGTCACCTTTGTCCCAGTTCTGACTTTGTGCAGCTTGGGTTTGATGGCCCTGACCCCACTGTCATTGTTGGGTCCTTCATCTTCCTGTTGGGTGAGCTTGGCAATCTCAATTTGTTTTCTTATTTTCTCCATTTCCAGTCTTTCCTCTCACTGTCTTCTTTCTCTCTTCTCTGCCTCTCCTCTTCTTTGTTGACATTCTTCTCTCTCTAGGCATCAACATCTGCAAAGAATTGACTAGCAAGTAAAATAAAGAATTTCAAGATCTACTGTGCCAGTACACAGATGCCTTCAAAAATAGACAAGGCAAGACAGGCCTTATGCAACACAAGATTGAGCCCATGATCAGAGATCCAGTCAAGGTGAAGCTCTACCAGATGCCTTATGCAATGAGAGACTAGATGAAGAAAGAAGTTGAGGCAATGTTAGAAGTTGGAATAATAGAGCCTTCAAATTCAGCATACCGTTTACCAGTGGTAACTGTAAAGAGGAAGGATGGCTCAAACCATTTCTACATAGATTTCCAGAAGCTGAACCTTATGACAAAGTTTTTCGAACATAGGGGCAACCCAGAGGCTACCATGGCAAAACAAGATGGGGCCAGGTTCTTTTCCATGATTATTCTCAGTAAAGATTATCGGCAGATCCTTATGGAGAAAGGATCTAAAGAGAAGACAGTATTTGTGACACCAGATGAATGCTACCAGTTCAACAGGATGCTGTTTGGGTTAGTGACATACAACCACATGATGAGAAAGATTTTGCACTAAAACACCAAAATCGAGCATTATGTGCATAACATTCTTATCCACACGGCGAGATGGGAAGACCACCCGAAGAAACGCAGAGAGCTGTTCAGGAGAATGAGGGGCAGCAGGTCTGACCAACAGACCATCTAAGTGCCACATGGGTTATTCTGTGCTGGACTTTGTTGGACACAAGACAGAAGAAAAGCTAACCCACATACAAGATACACCAGCTTCAACGACCAAGCAGCAGGTCAGGTCCTTCCTGAGGTTAGCAGGTTACTATACGAAGTTCATCACAATCTATGCTGAAGTCACTACACCACTGACTGACCTGACCAAGAAAAGCCAACCCAACAGAATGAAGTGGGAACAACCACAGCAGATGGCATTCCAGAAGTTGAAGAAAATGTTAAGAAATTTGCCAATCCTTAGAATGCCAGACTTGTCACTTGGGTTCTAAAGTAACTGGACCAGCCTGTATGGGCTTTGACAAACAGATAAGATTATTTAAAGCTCTGGATACAACTGTGGTAATTAACTGTGTAATGAACATTTGTATATAAGTTTGACTTGTTTTAATATACTATTTTGAAATAAGTGGACTGTGTACTGTTTATATATTGTTGATATTTATTGCCAACAAGTCACAAACACCTACTGTAAAGAATCCAGCCCATCCACACATAAAAACCTGATAATCATAATTTTGATTAGTTGATTATTTTCATGACATTAATCAATTAGTTTACACAACACTAATCAATTTAATCTCTGATCATAAGTAACTGATTATATTGATTGATCGATTGAGTCACCTAGCTTTATCTCTGACAAGAATGAAAGCCCACTGTGAGGTCAGAATAGTATCTTCAACTCCACATATAAATTTATTTTTTGAAATATATGCAAAATAAAGAATATTTAGCATTACATGAGATACTGAAGTTGCAGCTATTGTCACATCTGGCAATTAGTAATATTACTAATCAAATATACTATCAAAAAATTGTGGTGTTACTGCTGTAGCTGCTTACACTAATAATGCTGTTATTATCAAGTGACAAAAAATTAGGAAGTGTTCCTATTATTGTTGCTTTCACCAAAGATGATTATTGCTGCTTCTATATCAAGGCAAAAACCTTACTATTTACACCTACCACGGGATAAGGTGCTGCTGTTGCTACTGCCTCCACCACTGATACTGCTACCATCTGTATAAGAACTAGTAGGTGTTCCACCTGATGATGCTGTTCGACGATGAGAGAAGAGTCCTATCAGAGACCTACTGCGAGACAACACCCCTGGTGTTGGATCAGGGGAGTGTCTTGCTTTTAGTCGCTCATTTATGGACATCCCAAAGAAACCTAAGAGAAAAAATGCAGGCAGCAGTTCTTTGATGTTTTGTTGTAATTCAGCTGTAGTCATATTTAAGTCTCAATTTCAAAAAGTGAAACTTGTAACACATTTTAATTTGATTACTATCTTACATACAGCAAAAAAATTTAAGTTGTATGATGAGATAATAATTTGGTATTAAAAGAAAAAAATTAAATTTTGAACTTTTATTTGTTTTGGCAGAAGAACAAGTCAAACATTTTTCTGATATCAAATACAATAATCTACCAATAGTCTAGTAAATTATTCTATTTATTAAAACAATGCATTATAATCTAGGATGATTAAATATATTAAATCTTGTTTTTACATTTATATTTTACAATTTTTCTCAATACAATATTCCTATGCCAATGAGATTTGTTCTTGAAGAAATTATGTACATACTGAAAACGAAACTAGACTATCTATACAAGTATAATAGTAATTACAAGATGGCGAACTAACACTTTGCCTGGAAGATCAGGACTATTACAATAATCTATGAAAAAGTTTCAACTCATGACAAGGTAAAACTGTCACCGACTAAAATTACAATCTAGGGAAAAATATTAGCTCCAAGGCTATATGAATGATGATGTTAAAATGGATACAGTTTTAGTTTGAGAGTGAGCACAGCTAAAATAATAAATCACACATAAAGATTTAGTTTGCTACATGTACAAAACACCATAACTATAACCATATGTGCTAAGTTATATTTGGAAGCCATATGATAATATTTTACATACTGTAAAGTGTCACATGTACTACAATAACTTTCAAGTAAGATATTTAATATATGATCAAATACACTGCACTAAAAACCAAATTCATAGGGAAAAAAAAAGACCTTTATATTTATGCCCTGTGTTACACACAGCCAAACTACCCAGTGTAAATAATGTAAAACAGCAAGTATCTGAAAGTAATACAAGTGAGCCAAACTGTCTTCATAAAATAATTCCAAATTCAACACAATCTTTTTTGAGTTCTACAAGTGAACATTAGAATTTTTATACAAAAATTAAAGTTCTGCCTGAAACTCTCATGGCACAGTATATAAATCAATTAACTTTTTCTTAAACATATTTCACAAGTTACAATGAGAATCAGTTTTTAAGCCTGATGTTTATACGTATATATGCAAACTCACATGTATATATGTCACTTCAACACCAAATAATCTTTAACAGTGGAATGTTTCCTATCAAGTTATTTTATCCTCATATATTCAAGCAATTAATGATATACAGACATATGTAAGTTCTTCACCAGGGGCAATCCTACACATGACAAGAAATCTTTCAAAATACCACAAATGACATCTCTATTGAGTAAAAATGACTAAAGTGTTGATTAATGGATTAGTTTGTTTTCTTAAGTTGTAAATGTCTTTTATAATTTTACTAACAAGATATATTCAGTGCATTTTAACATTAATAAGATTATTTATTTTGCTACTTGATAATTTGTAAGAAATTTTGTGGAAATAATTTTCTGTAACAAGTTTCGAATAATGAGTATCCTTGCTAGGAAGAATGACTAGGAATTTTGTTCCAACTTACAGCAAAAAATAAAACCATTTAAATCTACAATTATTTTTCTTTTTCCTCAATGTTCAAGTATGAGGTCAAAAAGACTAAAACTGTGGTTTACAGAAATGTCATTTATTCTTAACAGTTAGACACACAATATATTTCATTTTTCTTCTATTTTTTAAAAACTTCTTTCTGCCTGAAGTTGACATACGATTAAAACTTGCATGTACTAATGTAGCTCTTAATCACATAGTGTTAAATAATCCTTATAATTCTGATGTGTAGTAATATAAGTAAAAATTTTGCTTAAATAATTTAACCCAGTTTAAGACCGTAAAAATTATCAGGTGATTTGTTAACATAAATAGCGTCTCAATCACTAATAATAGTAACATGTTTGTCGTATTCCAGACAACCTAGAGTCCTGTTACTGAGCGAAAGCTCGTCGGAATTGGATATAGGAAATATAGGGTTGTTGGCATATTATTTTACACTCCTCTTTATTTTCTTATTGATAATTTGTATGTTCAAATAAAGTGGAGGTTTGTTCAATTCAAATGGTAGAGGTATTTATGGATTAACTAGAAATACAGAGATTAGGGAAACTGCATATATCTATATGTATACATATTTGTTAGTGTGTCGATTATGGTTCACATAAAATTTAGTTTTAGTATTCTAAACTGGGGAAATGAAGGATAGCATGAAGCCAATTTGTATACCAACAGCATGTAACCCAATACTGCATGTTAGTTAGATGACAAAACGTTTAGGTAATCAAAAACTCGGTACTATAAGATGTTTTCTGTCTTTTGTAATATTGAGCACTTTCTTAAAAACAAAACGAAAAAAATTAACAAATATATGCCAACTTTACTAATTCAGCTCCTTGCTTGCTAATTCACTTATCCAATGATAAACGAAAACACACATTTCGTTTGACTATAAATAGCGCCACCACTAGCTTACTTTCATTACTTACTATTATAATTTCATGGTGCACCTTTAACAAACAAATTAGTCTAACGAAACTCCTTGAAAAACAGACGAAGTTTGAAAAACAATAGCATTCGCACAACGACAACATGGCATGCAGCCAAGTAAATATTAAATACCTCTTCTGAGACGTCAGACACGAGATATTAACAGTTATTTTTTTTCACTGAGTTTATTGCAAATCGAAATATCACTAAAGTATAATTGATGAACAACTAAAACACATCAAACAACTTATAAAGCAAATGTTCAACTCGGCGGTTACGGATACAAACTAGACATAAGCCTTGCACTTTACACTTAATGGTGTAGAAATTCGAGAAAATAAACATATTTTCTAAATTTGACTAGGTAGTATGATGAAATGAAATGCTGGGGCAATCAAGATATGAACATTACAAGATAGTAATATCAAGTTTTTGAAATCTAGACTTGTAGTTTATGTTGATAACATGGATATATTCATGTTTTTATTAGATGCGTATACAAACAAAAGGGGTGTTGTAGTTGGATGATTTCGACAGCAAAAGGCCTTTAATAGCATATATTAGTATTTCTATTTGAAAATAAAACTTTGCACCTATAAACAATTTAACAGTTCTATACCTGGGATCTGATAAAATTCATATTCTTTAGTGTTTTGGATAATATTTCTAAGCACTGGTTTCCAGTAAAACAAGATAGTGTGTTAACATTTAAAGTACATTAACTGTACGAAGGCACTACTAGAGAGGCCTTTATTTAATATTAAAATTAATCGGTACGGCCTAGTGAGAAACCTTTAAAAAGCCAGTTAAAAACATTACTAGTCTTGAAAGGTGATATTTCATTAGAGTTGTTACTCTGAACGGCCATTATACTTCGTCACCTTTGGATATAATAACCACAACTCTTTTCACTTAAATAACTGAATTTCATTTGGGAAATGTTATTCAAACCAACCAGCCTGATGAGCTCTGATACTGAGTGAAAGTTCCCGCCGACATCGGTCTACTTCAAAGTGTAGTTAAAATGAGTTATACCCTATGATCCTATGTGAAAACGCCTACCGAGCCAATCAAGATTAAAAATTATAAAATTACATTATATTTTACTAACATGTTGCTTTAACACTTTTACCCCCCCCCCAAAAAAAAGAAATCATGTTTCTCTTTCTGGTTCAATAAATCCTATAATAATAACCATTAAAGCCCCGGCGTTTAAGTATTTTGCACATTGTGATATTACTTTGTATTTACAATATTGTTTTCTAAATGTTAACATTTTTGTTATGTTTATTGCCAAAACGAAGTTTTTTGTTTGTTTTTTATCGTATATTTGACTCACCGATAACTTGAGAACACCGAAACATAAAATGACGATTTTTTTTTGTATGGTCTTTTTATATACCCCTTTGGACTCCCGTTGTATGCAAGTTCAGGATGAATATATTTAAGCACAGTTGTAAAACCTTAGATATCTGACGCAGTAGACATTTACTTTTACGTTTAAATAATTATCGAACAATGAATTAACTTGGTTACGAGTACTTGTTGTGTTTCAACGTTTTTGCTTATCTCGTTATAAAACACACCTTTTAAATACATAAAAAAATCTGATTCAGAATTTATAGTGCAGAAAACCTAAACTGGCGATATATCACCACTTTCCAGGTTATAGGTGTGATATGAAATCACAATACTGATAATAATTTCAACTATGCCAGTCTTTACTGGCTCATTCGTTATACACCAGATTAATTTGTACGACATTAACAATTTAATTTTTTTATCTAGTGTGCTCTGACCCTCTTTTGGGTTACTAAAGAATGGAATAGCTGAAAAGCAGACATTAAGATCCTAATATGGCCCACTGCATCACAAGACAATAAAGAGGGAGGCAAATGTGGTTTCAATGGTTGAAGATAATTTTGAATATGTTAGTTGACATAAACAATACAAAAATGTCACGTCATACACTCCACCTTTATGGTAACATGGACCAAAGTTGTGTTTTAATACAGCAGGTATATGGAACAGATGCGATCTCATATGTAAAGGTTCTCTGTGAAGTATGGAATTGATACTTGCTATAAATGGTGTGCATGTGAAGACACGTTAATTTTGACAAGGTTTAAGTAGGTATTCTATAGAAAACTTAGTGTCAAGAATTTTTGAAGGCAGTTAATGTGTATGGAAATGGATCCACGTTGGGAGAAGTGCACTACTTGATCCAAAACAGCCCAATAACATTGATGGCTTAAGTCGCAAATCTATTACACTGTAGATTATCTAACGGTTGTTTGCACACTGTGCTATGCATTCTGGCTTCCTCTGATTAACACGCAAGAGGAAGAGGAAAGGGCTTGCACATTTTTTTTTTATAACTCTCATTCTAATCAGATTATCTGCAGAAGAATTGTGCAAAAGAAAATGCTAGCCTACTTTCCCAATTTAATGGATGGTACCAATTCAAACAGGCAAAGTCATATACTAAAGAACCTCTCAGACAATTTTATTCTGCTCCATCACAAAGAAACGCTGCAGATTAACTGATGTGGCATCAAAGATTTACTTTTGTGATGCCTCTATGATACAGTAGCAATTGGCCACCCAATGGGAGCTAAAGACCGTTATACTTCACCCTGGCTACATCAATGACAACACCTACTGGTATTTTGCTTGTCCTTTCTGTTAAAGAGCCTCCATTATAAAATATGAGGATAGAAATGCTCACCCCAACTCACATCGTATAAGCTGATATATATATCATCAGATATGTAGTAAATATACAACTTTGTAATTATTTCACAAGTGATTAACAAAGAAAATAAATTACTGTAATTAAATTAAATGTCCGCATAAAATACTGGTCGACATCTTTGAAATCATGAGTGGTAAAAATACAACATGCCAAAAGCAATTTAGCTTATCTGTCACTATACTTTAGGAAATTTTATCCAAATCTGATATAAGCTATTTCAGGCCCTTACTGATAATCTTTGTTATAAACAATCTAATTCATTTACACAAGTTTTATAATACTTTGAAATGCAGATACTAAGGACAAAACATAAATATTCTTCATGGCTACGGAAAAACTCACACAGCAAAAAGTTTAAGTCAGCAACGGCTTTGAAACTACACTTTCAATCAATCCTGGTTAGAAAAGAAAACTTTCCCGCCTACCCCCGAAAACAACAACAACAACACTATAGTGAAACTTGGCATATCTTTTTTTATAGTTAACAAGATAGTAAACAAAGATTAGAAGCTTTCAGCTACTCATTGAAATCAGCTCCTGAATATTAACTTTTGTTGGTCTTCTTGTTTCTCCAATGTGTTGGAATCCATTTTCACAGAAGATGTTGTATTTTTTTATCATTGGATCTTCAGGTGGTTTGGCATGTACTAATTGTGATAATTTTGTGCTGTAGCTTCTGAATAATGATCTGATTTTATGTTGTGGCTACAAACTATGATGGTCCAGCATGGTCAGGTGGTTAGGATGCTCGACTCGCAATCTGAGGGTCGCAGGTTCGAATCCCGTATCACG